TCAACCAGAGCTACAGATAGGATAGGGAATTTTGGCTGTAGGAGAAAATTAGGAAGATGGACAAGGCAACCAGAAACGGAGTCTGACGGGAGTTATCCGGCAGGAAGGAGACTCGTTCTTTCCTTTTCAGAGACGTTAAGGGTGTCCCGTTGGTAGTTCAGAAAGAACGCATCGTAAGCTGGGCTAAACATTTCAGCCACTTGCTCAATGGCTTCCCTCCAGATTCGGCGTTCCTGACCGTTAATTCTCTACACTGGACGTTTATACAGATCCATCCACAAACTAGCAATCTCAAGCTTTACTACACCTCAAGTGAGTAAGGGCCTGTGGAGTGGATGGAATTCCTCGTTGAGTTAATTAGGAATGGAGAAACGGGAATGGTATAAAAGCTGTGTGCCCTGTACTGTGTTTCATCAAATGTGCACCGACCAACTTTTCGCAGCAGGATTGAACTGTGAAATAATTTTTGCTACGTTTAAACGGTGTCGGTCGACCGGTTGTTCCAGTTATCGTGGTATCACACTGCTGTCAACTCCCGGGAAATGTTCTGGTGGATTATAATGGAAAAGTTGGGACGGCAATCTACGGAAGGCTTAGCCGAAATCATGCTGACTTCCGGATGGCGTACTCATGTCCCAACTCAGTTCTCATTCAGCGATGTCGCCGATTGCTTTAGTTTGCCAGTTTGTTCGATTTGCAATTTAGTCAGTGCATCATCCTGGTTGAAACTTATGAAATGCTACTAGATACTTGAGCGCATGTTTTCGTTCCAGGAAGACAGGTATGCAGGAACGTGTCCTCTGTCGAGGTCAGAGAAGAACCGTCTGAGTAATTCAGAGGTGACCTTTGTCACCTGACTGTTTCCGTGTTTGGCACAACTGCGGAAGCTGGTCTCTTACATAACATCGGGAAGTCGATAGTTATAAAGAACCGGTCCTCCACAGCTCACCTACAAGTAGAACACGGAATTGACGTGCTTCAGGAGGTTGATTAATTTAAATATCTCGGCTACGTCATCTCCTGCGATGACACTATCCAAGCAGAGTTTATTTGGAGCATCGCCATCGCCTTGAGCGCTTTAGGAAATCTGTCCAAGGCGTTACTCTTCGTACGAAACTCAGGCTGTGTCTCTTTCTCTCTCTCTCTCAGGTCAGTTTTGTTCTAGGGCATGGAGACAGTTGTTCTGACGGAAGGGCAAGAAATACGGTTGAACTGCGTACAGCAGCGTTGGCTTCGATGCATAATGACAGTTAATTTGTACGCGCTAATTTGCTCACCGCACAGCTGATCGACTGTGCAGTAGTTCGGTGACTTCTGCCTCGGCCAACCTCGGGTCGTTGGTTCACCCTTGGTACCAACGTCGTGAAATTATATGTAATTCATGAAGCATTTATTTTGCAACTTTCTTTTTTTACACTGTTGCACAAGCACATTCAGTATAATACAACCCAAAAACTGTATGATGCAACGCGTGGATATTAATAGTTAATAATTAAAATAATGTGCAACGCCTCTTCAACAATCGAGAAGTTGAATATTGGCGTTGGCATTCTCGAATTCTTCGAATTATCTGCCAGGATGGAAAACCAACTCTCCTGAAAATACATGAAGTTGAATCAGCATATTTTTTCTTGATATGTGGCTCTCGCGAATGGATTGCAATTTACTTCTTAATCTCGGTTTCATTCAGTCTTTGTTCTTTTTACAGACCAGCAGTAAGCTTCTATGTGAATGTACAGTATGAGACAATAACTTGCGAAAATTCTAGATGCCACCCCTATTCGTTTTTGGCATATTTTGATCGATAATGTCAAAACAATTCCTGGTGTTAATTGAATTCGTACATGATATCGATCTTGAGGGTAAAACCACGTTATCTTCAAAGTAGACTATGGACACTTGCATTTCGATCAGGTGATCGTTCATTTCAGAAACGACCTCAAAGGCTCGCTGTACCGGTACGAAGGAGAGTGCAGTGAGCATTCAGACATTGGGGAAGGTAGCATCCGTTGAGTGTCTTTGTTGGAGACGGTTCCCATGAATGTTTCGCTAGTTGCATTGGCCAAATTGAAAAAAGCCCCCACGATACAGGACATTTGGAAAGCTTCTTTGAAAAGAGTTAATAACCGCATGTTCGAAGTCAGTCAATACCGCCTGAGGTGCCAAACCGGTTCCAGACGTTTCAAGGCGTGCGGCATTCGCGATTAACTAGCCTCTGTTTTGTTAGGCAGCAAGGTGATGGAATGACGCTGTAGCACTGTATTTAGTGGATTGTGTACAATCACTGAAAATTTGAGGAACTGTTTTAAATGATCCGTAGGCATATCAGTTGGATGATTGCGACAGTAGCCGCAAATTATTGCTAGTGGAAAAAATTAATAGACGATTATTACCGGGTCCATTGTCGCGCGCTTATGATAATCGAGGCAGTCAAACGTCTGTTTGTACCAAGTCGTTTAGGTCCGATCCGCGACTCCACTTTTTGGCGCCAGGGTGTCTGCTTCATGTTGTTGATGGATGGATGGAAAATTTCCAGCTACTTCTTGTGACCGCCTAACAGAAGCTATGGATAGAATACTGAGATATTATGGCACTTTCCTTCAGTTCTTCGATAACTTTTCCTAATTCTACTTTATCAGAATGACGCACTCATCCCATGTGTGCAATATGGCACGACATTTGTACTTCCGGCTGTGTTCGCACTTCCACATTATTTTCTCTTCCGGTTTTTATCTTCGATAAACAAGTTACCGAAGTGCGGTAACTTCAGCTTCCTCTTCGTACTCCGAATCAGCCTTAGAAACATTTCTTGATGATTATCCATTTTAATTACCGCAGGTACTATAACAGCTATCGGTCACCGGATTGATCACAGCATTTTTTGCGTTGTTTATGTAAAGCGACCATGTTTTACACTGTTTTTTCAACATAACCACCAAAGCACGAACGAATTACCCTGTCGACATGTACAGGCGATCAGCTGCGCGGTGGGTAAGTGTGCAGCGAACCGACTTATTTGAACCATGTTAAAGGGCAGGGCTACGTAAGGAATGACTCTGTTCTCTTCCGGGCATAAGTTACCTCGGTAGATGTGGGGACGAAAAATGGGAGTTGGCCCTTTTAGATAAACTGGTTCAGCGTGCAACATTTACTTCACCCATAAGCTTCTCGTGTCGGAGGTGAATTACGGTAAAGAAAACGTCGATCAGGAAGCCAGCA